CTGAACGGTGAGTTTTTGCCCCATAGGAACGCATTAAACAGGGTTTAACGCATTAAACAGGGTTTAATGCGTCCTTATGGGGTTTTTTGTTCTGTTTAGCGATGTTTCCGGATAGCGACGTTAATCCTGGAACGGATTAACGTCGCTATGCGGGGCACCACTGTATTTGCTAGTTCTGTTAGCTAACTGGGCATCTCATTTTTTTAATATTCTGCATCTCTTGAAGTTAAAATATTCTTTAGCAGGTATGAACATCAATTTTTCATCCACTTACTGATAGCCCTCTTCTGTAACCTGGACTTACTTCTCACTCATTTGATGAAACCATCATCTGAACTACCTGCTATGATTTCACTGCTGTCCTTGTCTTCCAGAACCTTTCTAGGGAACTCTGTGCACCTCCATGAACCAGCCTTGCTTGACCTGGCAGAGTGGGTTTTTTCATATTATTTTCTTACCCAGAATTAGCTTTACCCCTCCCCCATCTTTCACTGTAGTTTCTCCCCATCTCTTTCTGCAGCGTTAGAATGATCAAGGTATAAATTTAATGTATGTTACATCAATGTAAAAAGTGCTCTTGTATTTTATATTGAATGTAAAGCTCCCTTCAGGAAATTTCTGGACTTCTAAGCAAACCTGGATCGTAGAGTAAGATATCCAGTGTCTCCCTAATATCTTGCAAAGTAGTTAGTAAAACCACCACATTGGCTTATCAGTGGGTGAAAATGTCACTAGTGACAGTTTTAAAGACTTGCTGCAATAGATCGTTGACCACTTCTATCACCATAATTCGGTTACTACTTACTATGTTAAGCAACAGGATTTCAGATTCTGTATTATAAATTTACATTACAACTTTAATACCTGGCATCTTTTTAATTTTTTTAAGAAAGAAAAAAGAATATTTGTCATTAATAGTAATTAAAAAATCATTCTCTTCCTTCAAGAATTAGTTTTGTTGTGGAGTCATACCCTGTCTGCGAGTATCATCTGTACATAAGGTGTTAAAGCAAATATATGGAATGCACTACGGAGACCAGCTAAAGAGGATTAATTAATAAAATCTCATGATCCTATTAAGGAAAGTT